TGAGGGAAGTGATTCTGCCCCTCTGCTCTGTTCTTGTGAGACCTCACCTGGAGTACTACATTCAGTTCGGGGGCCTCCAACTGAAGAAAGACATGCACCTGTCGGAGCAGGTCCAGAGGAGGAGCAAGAAGATGATTTGAGGACTGGAGCATGTCTCCTATGAAGACAGGCTGAGACAGTTGGGGCTGTTTAGCCTGGAGAAGAGAAGGCTTCAAGGACATCTTCTAGCAGCCTTCCAATATTTAGAGGAAACTTAAAAGAAAGGGGACAAGGACTTTTTACAAGAGTATGTAAGAGGGTAGGTTTCGATTAGACCTAAGGAAGAAATTTTTTACAATGAAGGTGGTGAAACACTAGAATAGAGAAGTTGTGGCTGCCCCATCCCTGGAATTGTTAAAAGCCAGGTTGGATGAGGCTTTGAGCAACCTGGTCTAGTGGAAGATATTCCTGCCTGTGGCAGAGGGTTTGGATCTTAAAGATCTTTAAGGTGCCTTCCAACCCAAACCTTTCTATGATTCTATGATTGCTGACTCGTGTTCAATTTTTCATTCACTAGTATCCCCAAGTTCTTCTCCTCAGGACTGGTCTCAATCCATTCATTCCCCAGTCTGTATTGATATTGGGGATTGCCTTGACCGAGGCTTAGGACCTTGCACTTGGCCTTGTTGAACTACATGAAGTTCACATGGGCTGACTCCTCACATTTGTCAAGGTCCCTCTGGATGACATGCCTTCCCTCAAGGATGTCATCTGTGACATTCAACTTGGTGTCATCCACAAACTTGCTGAGGGTGTACTCAATCCCACTGTTTATGTTGACGAAGATATCAAATAGTATCAGTCCCCATACAGACTCTTGAGGGACACAACTTGCTACTGGTTTCCACTTGGATATTGAGCTATTGACTGTGTCTCTTTCGATGTGGCCATCCAGCTAATAGTTCCACCATCAAATCCTTATCTCTTCAATTTAGAAGTAAGAATGTTGTGAAGGACAATATCAAATGCCTTACAAAAGTCTAGATAGATGACATCCATAGCTATGCTCTTGCCACTGATGCAGTCACTCCATTGTAGAATGCCACTTGTTTAGTCAGGCACGGTTTGCCCTTGGTGAAGTCATATTGGCTGTCTCTAATCATCTCCCTGTCTTCCGTATGTTTTGACATGTCTGCCAGGAGGATCTGTTCCATGATCTAACGAGAAGCAGGGGGTGTGCGCACAAACCTCCTGCAGAGGAGATGGAGGGCTTTGCTTCCTTGGCGAGTTGCTCTAATTAAAAGGTTAATGTGTAAGAGGAGCCTCTGTCCCTATATCTACCGCTGCTGCTAGGTATCTGCTTTTCAAAGTGATCCCTGCATGAATTCTTCTGCAAACAAAGCCCTCGTTCTATGTTGGTTCAGCCATATGCGTGCATACTTATAATATTTTAACAAAAGATGCCTAACAGAAGGAGTAAGACAGGCAGATATCTCTGTAT